TATTCTTTTGTGTGTACGATATATAAAAAATGTTTAATATGATTCTTGCACAGAACGAAACGACGAACCTTTTCGGAAAACGTTTAAGTATGCGCGGCTAAAATGCGTAAATAATTAATGTATTTGGAAAGCTAGGAATATGTTCTATTATCTTGCTTTTAAAAGGCTCAAGTAAAATCTAGTTGCACGTTTTGATGCAGGTGTAATTATCACGAGATTCTAGTGTTTCCACCAAAGATTTGTTCCTGAATTTGCTTCATCCGAGACGCTCTTATTCCAAGTGAAGCTAGCAATTTCTGATAGAATGCTGAAAATCGTTGTAAAATCCATCGACTTCTTTCCGAGAAAAACTGACTTTACTTCGAAGTCTAGGCCTTTCTCACTGATCACAACGTTTTCTAAAATTTCGATTTGCAACTTATTCTAACGCTTTAACGACTTATTCCAGATTCAGTAAGGAATTGTCTACAACCTGTGGGGGATCAAGCCTGTATTTCAACTAGTTGGAGCGCTGGAGTGGAACAAGCCACAAATCGAATTTTCGGAAAACGCTCTGTAATATGCGAGAAAAGCCTAGACTTCGAAGTAAAGCCGCCGTTGTTTCATTAATGATGTTTGAACAGCTTTTGAAAGGAGCTGATATATTCGAACAGCTCTTTTGAAATGCGTGCTGAAAAACTTGGTGATCATTTGTATCTAGAGAATTTGGTGATCAAAAGTATCCTTTTTTTTTTTAGTATATGTTCGAACAGCTGTTTTGAAAGGAGCTGATATGTTTGTAGAGTTCTCTTGAAAGAAACTAAACTTGAAAGATTTTCTCGCAGAGAACTAGAATGGCCACTAGAGATGTGATAAAGTTAGACAAATCTCGCACAGAAAATGTAAATAGAAAACTTTCGAATTTGTATAACGAGAGCTGCAGGACTTCGCTGATATGAACGTCTAATGAACATTCGGGACGTTTAAACTTTGTCTAGACGACTAGTGTGATGAGATTTACATGCAGATCAGATACGTATTGGTAGCTTCTAGGCACAAAATGTAGCTCCTGCTGATTTTAAATTAAAAAAAGAGTTTTCGCATTTTCTATTTTATTTGTCAACTGTGATGGGAGGAGGCATTAAACGGAGTGAGATGATCTGACAGGAAATGAAGATTACACCAAGCGAAGGTATAATCATAAGCAAAGAAAGGGATAGCCATCCTTGCGAATAGACATTATTCAAGGACCATATTGCCCCTGTAGAGATGACAGATAGCACGACTAACACGATATTAACACAAGATAATCCTTTCAATGCAAAATCTTCTATTTCGCAATTGACCTTGATTGTTATTCAAAAACTTCAGTCAATAAAACAGACACATGAACACCACAACTAGCGATCTCATCTGAAAACTAGACAAGTTTGACATCCTGTTTTCTTATACGCATAAGCCTATCTATAACTCCAGTTAATAAAGTAAGTGAAATATACCAAACTGTTCGAACATATCGTTCAAAAGAACTTTTCAACAGTTTCTGTGATAGGAGTTGATATGAAACTTTCATAACCCTAGCTCAGAGACGTTTCCAGTGTCTTGTAGCAACGACCTGACAGCATCTTCCTATGTACAATTCTACCAATGAGATCTACCATGGTGTACCTGATCGATGTTTCAACGATAAGATTGTCACCTCCTAACTTTTCATGCAAGTCTAATGTTTGAAAATACGCCTTGCATTGAGCGACATCTAGTCTACATATGTACCCGACAGCTACATATGCGATCGTTCGGGCAGAAGCGAACTTTTCCTGAGACAAGTTCGAACCCGATTTTCTTGATATTTAGAAATCTGAAAACGCATGGAAACATAGGTTATTGACCACGCTGACTGTTGTGGGAATGTTTTGTTTTTCGAAAAAGCTGTTTGTTCCGATTCAGTGTGCTCGACATATATAATATATATTACATTCCTTAACCCTTTGTATCTCTCACTCAGTATATTCTTGACATGTACTCACTTCTATATACAAACTTTCATTGAAAAATAATCAGATATGAGTTTATAGCTAAAGTTTTACTGAAATGAATAGTTTTCTGAGTATGATGAGTTTCAGGTTCAGGCCTCTTGTTCGGCCTCACACTCAGGATTAATCTATAAAGAGCATTAGCCGAGTAGATAAAAGAGTAAAATTGGCACTTAGGATAGGGAGGAGGGGAAGACATTTTTCTACAAAATATGCCTGTTTTGTGAACTATTTCATTTTACAAATTTTTTTCTTTGAAGTTGCGACTATGTTGGAATCGTTCTGTTGCTGATAGTCTTGGAAGGTAGAGGGGAAGGATATAATGAGTCTTCCCCTAAAATGCTAATCATAAGTTTCTAGACGTTCGTCATAGGATACACTGGACGGTATCATATGATATCTGTGGACACCTGTACAGTTAGCGTTTCTCTTTCAGATCTCAAATCCATCTACGATAGCGTGGAGTTTTACAAATTTAACAGCGATAGCTTTTCGTATGGTGTTGAATTTTTTTACAGAAGTCTATCCGAGAACATGATGAGCATGCAATACAAAGACATACTTCTGTAATTTGCTCAGTTCAGTGGTTTGTGCCTTAGTCTCATAATTCATACTCGCCAGGCGTCCCAGATTTGACCACCAGAGGAGCTGTTCGTTTTTTCTTCTCTTATAAAGTAGATGGTTATACTCGCACGATTTTACCTAGAGGGGTTTTTCTAACGGTTTTAAAATCGTCAAAGCAAAACTGTCCTATTGGAACAATCGAAAACAAAAGCCTGAACAACTAGAACTGTGGAAACAAATCATGCCAAAACTGACTGCGAGAAACAGCCTATAAAAATCGTCATCATTTTCACTGCTTTTTTTTCTCCGTGTAAAAATAAAAGAGTTATTCGAAAAATACTGCGAGGCTCATTCTTCCGAAGCACCCGTTAGTTGTATGGTGAACGTTTAACACCTTCCGCTTCGCACGGTGGAATCCTAATGATTTATATACTATTGACAGTTCAATGAAATAGAGCAGCCTCTAATTTCAAGAACATGGGAACTATGAACGGTAAAACTCTTTTAAAAAATATTTAAATAAATTTTGAAAAATATTAAAATAGAAAAATATTTATGCTTACATACAAATTTTGAGATAGTAAAAATCTCTTTGCTCTTTTCCGTAGGCAGACAGAATACGCAAATGTGAAGCAAATGTCAACAGAGATATCTCTTGGATATATGTGTATATTTCTATCTGAATGCTAGAGGCCTAGTCATTTGCACCATCTTATTCAGTCAATCAGTCACTTCACTATCCTGACAGTAGTTCTTTGTTCATGAGGCGTCAAAGTGGCATGCGTAGCTGACATGACAACAAACAATATAAAAAGTTTATGAGGATTTAGATCTCTTTAAATTCAGTAATCTGTGCTGTATTCCACGCTCTTCTTAATTTAGAAAAAAGGGTCTGCCGTTTCACTATACATGCATAAGTATGCTAGATATGGGTAGGATGTCAAAAGTAGGTCAGCACTTTGAGGAAACTTTTGATCAACCACAACAAGTACACTAAATTAATTAAACTTCAAAACCGGGTAAGACTTCTTCCTTGCTTCATATCTTAGATGTTATAGCAACTGCAACCATAATGGCGACAACAGCACATGTATCCCTTCGTTAAAAATACGCTTTCGCAATATGTGAACAGTCTCAGTTTGACCAAAAGTTACCTAATATTTCTTTGTAACTCTAAAGCACATTTAAAAATGGCGCGTATACATTTATTACTTCAATCTCAGATTAACTATCCTTATTCATTAAGAAACAAAATACTGTTCGTCCCGATGTCAATGCCATCTTTTTGTTCTTTCCGCGGCTGAACCTGAGCTGGGGCTGAGGGTTGTTGTTCTTGTGGTCCTTCCTCATGGACAAGTTCTTCGTGTTGTCTTTGAACTGTCGCATGTCGACGTTTCGAAACTGAAATGAGTTAGAGTAGTTCTACTTTCAATCAATTCCATCTGTCCATTCACGTGCTAAAGTTGCGACGTTCGACGCGGCTGCAGTTTCCCAGTGTATAGCTTCCTCATCACAAAGTACTACCACTATCTGCAGATGATTGTAGTTTGGTTGTAATCGTGGAGTAACAGCTAGTAAGTGGACAGCTTATCAGCCACATAGCTCAAGTTTTCACTTGAAAAGTTCGCTTAATAGACGTCGCTTAGTTAGGATTCATGATCCGACTGCACCATACTACGAGTAGTTATCTGAACTAGCATTTCAGTAACCAACTTTCAAGCCAAATGTAGTTTGTAGGCACAAGGAAAAGTGAATGGGATTCTATGGCTTGTTCCCAACATTTAGAGATCATGCAGGGTAACAGAATAAGACAAGACCTCAAACAAACGCTTTGCTTCGATCTGCCTTTTCGCTCTAGTAGGGTGTTAGGAAGTATAAACCAAATTTCATATCAGCAATGGTCATCTTTCAAATATACATGTTCTCTTCACTCGATGGTTATTTTCCCTTTCTGTTCTTTTGTTATATGTATTCACTGTCCTGTTTTTCTATGATGTATTATTTTCTCTTTCTGTTCACTCTTTCCCATGGGTATTTTTCATTTCTATTCTTCTCTCTCTCTCACTCTCTCTCTCTTGTACAATAGCTGTTTTTCCCAGTTTCCCAAAAGGGATCTTCCTGTAGCTAAAATATACTATATATAGTTGTGAATTTACTGAAATAAAGTGTGTGTAACAGTTACATTCTTCTTTGGCTATTAACCATTGGATGCAAAACGATTCTGGAAGGAATAACCTAACATTGGTGCACTAGCCAACTGTTTGTCAATTCAACATCACAAACAATATTATATTGTGTTAAATCAATTAAATCTGCAAGCTGGTGAGTACAAGGACCACGTCAGATCAACAAACCGGGGCAAATCTCGAACAATACGACGTGAAACAAGAAGAAAAGGCAACAACTAAAACTGAAGCAACAACAATGACAATGACACCGTCACCGACACCAGAATTCCAATCATTTTTCGAATTACTACCCTTCACGGGTGATGTTCGTCAGAATGTAGTCCATTGGCTCATGACGTTCAATGAAGTCTGCACAACAGCTGACTTTCACGACGATCAACGCCGATTATGGCTTCCGCTCAAATTACTTGGTGGACCAAAATCATGGTATCGTCTGGAGCAGCAAACCTTGGTGAATTACAACTGGAAACAAGTACAAATGGCATTCATTGAGGCATTTGGCACATCCAGTCAAATCGAACAAGCGTCCAGATCCTTGAGGACTCACATTACATCACATGAAACGGAAAATTCGGTGACAGAATTTCGGTCAGACAAACTCGCATCATCAGTGAATAATATAGTACAAGTCCACAATCAACAACAACAATTGAGCGAAGCTACACTTGCGACTGATGATACTCTTAAGTTTGAATCAATAGAATCTATCGATCCACCGACATTACATGAGGTACAGGTGCAAATTACCACTGATAACATGTTCCACCACGCAATAACCGCCTTTCCTATTGAACAAAATAGAAGATCAAGTGTCTGCAAAGTATTATCAAGTGGAAGACAAGTTATTCGTGATGGAAACTCGAATACTAGCGACCGAATACTAAAGAATGGAAGACGATCAGTTGAATTAACATCTAACACCAGTAGTCTACAACCGTCAGTAGTAGCGCAAAGTAGTACAAATGATAACGAAAATAGTAATAGCAATTTATCAATATCAAGTAA